AAAAAAAAAAAACATGTACAGAAATAATTCTTTATTTCCCCCATATATTTGTTAATAGCAGAGTTACTCTCTCTCCCTCTCTTTCTCCCTATATATATATATATATCTCCCTATCTTTTCTTTCTCTCTTTCTTTCCTATCTTCACATAAAGACTTAGTGTCCAAGTTCCTTTTTCATGGCACTTGCACGCTCCATGTGTGTGGTCATGAATGTAAAGAAGTCAAACTCATGACTGTCCATACCGGTTGTGTATACATACTCAGATGCGAGCCACATTGCACAAATAGCATGTTGATAATCCACAGGTACACGCTGCATCAATACATCCAAAGGAACTACATCTAATAGTGTCTTGGGTGTATATTGAACAAGAATATATCGCACAAGATCTTCATTCTTAAACACATCACTTGAAAGAATACTGGCACGAACCTTAACATTCTTTTCACTGAGTGCATCCGCAATACGAGTCTTTGCCATTCCTTTATGGGTTTCATATTCACGCCAAATGGCATCAAACTCCCTCTGTGCATTGCTCTCAATACGAGAAATAATATCTCTAACATAATTCTTATAAAACTCTGGGGCTTCATCGGCACTCTGAGCACACATATACTTTGCGTGTTCCTCATCTGAGAGTGCCAGTCCGGCGTAGACTTCCAGCGATGAAGAGGTTACTCCACCCTTATTCGCTGAGGCATCCTTAATGAGTACCACACCACAGCGTTCAAGCGCCAGACGAGCATCTTGAGAAATAAATAAATTAGCACCTTCCACAATGATTTTGTATTTAAGATCTTTTAAAGCCTCAAATTTACCAGCCAACATAGATTCACCATCCGCATCTGGGGTATTAATAAATCGTCCAACATTTGCCAACGTCACACTGCGTGGACGACCTCCACAAGGTACAAACACATCCGCCGCACTGTACTTTGTAAGGTAGAACTCATCACGGAATGCCGCCCCATCAGGGATAACATTGCCATCGGGTAATTTTACATTCTTATCTTCTGTTAATACCAGAAAACCTTCAGGAGAAAGTTTGGATTTGTCAAAATGACGTAATTGTAAACGATTATGAGCAAGACGAGTTAATTCTTCACGGTCAATTCCATTGGGATCATGTAAAGATGCGGAAATGTCAGACATGGCCAACATTTTTTCTTTACTTTGAAGAATTTCATTTGAACCAAGATCACCATCAGGTCCACCAGTTTGAAATTTCGTCATTTTTGACTCATCAAGTCCAAGTTTAGAATAAATACCACGTACCATTGTACGAACAGAGCGAGTAGTCATTCCATAGACATCATGCGGAATTCCACCCATAGAGGTATCCTTACCGGTTGTGAAGGATTTCCAGGCGGAGTATCCACGTCTCTTGCTGTGTAAAGCACCTTCACTAGGGAAGGTTCCCGCTGTATTCTCATCCGGGCCAAGGAAAAGAATTTCTGGCTGTTTTAAATTATCCACAATACCGGATTCTCCTGGAAGAATAACATCAAGAAGTCCATCTACATATTGAAGGAACATTCGTTGACAAAGATCATGATCAAATTTATTAAGATATCGTCCAGAAACAAGAATAGTACCCTTGCTACCACCTTCAGGAATATCCTTATTTTTTAATAACTGTGTAAGGGCAAGATTATAATTCTCCTGAAATACTGTTCGTTTGTTACGACGATATGCACTTTTCTTGGATATAATCATACGTACGCCTCCACGGGCAATATTGGTGAAACGAACATGAAATCCACGCCATTGTCCACCAGCAAGGAGGAAAATACCATGTGGCTCTCGAGGATATTCAAGTGACTTAATAAATGAAGGATCAAGACGGAAACATAATGCAATCTTATCTTCCTTAAAGAAGTTATGTTTCACAATGGCCTCATTAAAACGAAGGAATGAGTTAAAAATTTCCAAATCATGTGAAGTTCGTTGATCCTCCTTAAATTGAGTGGTAATTCTTTCTCGAATAACCTTTCGAGATTCAACTGTGGATCCATTTCGAAAATCTTCATATATGTCAATCATAAATTGTGGATATTGACCAATAAGTTCACCAATATAACGTTCAGACATCATCTCTAGACTCAATTGTGTACGAAGGCTATTAAGACGATTTACACCATTTGGTTCCTTAGAAAGAAGAGCACGAAGATGTCTGTAATCATCTGTGGTTGGGTTTGGCGTAAAGTAAAAAGCGAAAATAATAGCTGCATCTGTGAAAACTGTATGTTCCACATTGAAAACCATATCTTCATGTAACCTCGTAATAGTATTACTAGGACGATTAGGAAGAAGACCTACCATAGAAGCACGTTGAGCCAATTGTTCCCTGGTGGCACCACGAGTAAAAAATGTATATATATGAACATCATTTGAGAAAGTCTCAGAAAAACTGCGCAGAACCACCGCTCCAGGAATTTCGTGAATCATAGCTTGAAGAGAAGCCATATAATAAGTACGATCAGCAGAAATGGCCATAGAAAAGCAAATTTCACCATCAACACCATCAACCACTGTAAATACAGGAACGACAGAATCACGGAAACGAGAAAGAAGACCTTGATAACGTTCTTGAACTTCCGGTGAGCGTTCCTCAAGGAAAGCATGGCTTGCAAGCTGTGATATATTCGTCTCACCTTGACCAGGGTTTGGATTTACAAAAGGGTTAAATTTGGCTGTGTAGACACAAATATTACCATCATCAGTTGTATAACCACGCATCGAAATAGACTTCTTCTCAGTTTGTTCACGGGATACAAATCGTGCCAGGCGTCTAACCGCCTTAAGCTGACTCTCACGATCCTTTCTGCAAATATAAAAAGCAGAATCTTCGGACTCATGAACGTACTGAAAAGGGTCACCAAGCGCTGCATTTGCCTTCGCACAAAGATAACCATGAATGTGAGCCGCCACTTCGCTATCTTCATAAAAACGACCATATGAGAGGTCTGAGAGGTCATGCATAAAACGATCCACAGCTTTCTTAACAGAAGTTTCATCAAATAAACCTCGTTTCATTAACATTTGCTCAACACTCTTTGCATCGATCTCTGAACTTACATGGCGATATGAATTACGCACGGTAATGGCGCTTGTCCACACGCGGAAACCAACGCGGCGCATCATAACTGCTCCACTTAAATCTTTTTTTTTTTTTTTTAAATGCACCAAATCTGCTATTCTTTCTAATAACGCAATAAAAACCAAAAAGATCGACAAAAAATAAAAGAAAAAAACAACACAATACAAAAATTATGGAAACACATTAATAATTAACCAACACACAGCAACAAATAAACAATATAAATACAGAAATAAAATACCAACACAATATAACACCCACACACACACACAAAGGCCAGTGGTTATGTATATATATAGATAGAAAGATATAGATAGATACAGAAACAATGGGTTAGATGGCCGATCATTTCAGTGCTTACACTTGGCGCGACAAGACCAATCCCACCGCTGCCTCGAGACCATCACGCGCAGGAGAGTAGTGAAGTGTCTGGAGTGCTTCAACACCACGGCGACAGTGTTGATCGGCGTGCTGCAGGGCCTCGGCAACGCAGCCATGGCGCTCCACTGCCTCCATGCAGATCTCCGTATCACCGGGTTCTTTGAAACGGCGCCGTATGGCCGCATCCACACGAGGGTCCTGCCGGCCAGCGAGGAGAACGGGGAGTGTGGCGATGCCCTCCTTCATATCGGCCATCTTGGGCTTCCCAATTTTCTTCTCATCACCGGTGATATCGAGACAGTCATCAACGATCTGAAAGGCAATACCAAGTCGCTTGCCAAACTCTGTTGCGGCCGCTTCATACGCCATGTTCTGAGGGTCAGCGAGGACAGCTGTTGCCGCGAGGGAGTTCGCCATGAGCGAGGCGGTCTTGCAGTAAGTCTTTTGCTCGTACCGCCCTATGTCAAAGCAACCATCCATCTGCATCAACTCACCAGCAGTGAGGTCCTCCAGTGCGGTTGTCATGAGCACCACTACGCGGGGAATAGAAAGGCTAGCGATCCACAGCGAAGCACGAGCAAGAACAAAGTCACCCGCAAGCACCGCACGTTTCGCACCATATACGCAGTGCAGTGCTGGTTGCCCTCGACGCGTGTTACTATTGTCGATAACGTCATCGTGAATCAGAGAGGCTGTGTGGATGAGTTCCGTGACCTCACCAAGCCGCAGGAATGGTCGAATGGTACCGGAGGGAATTTCGTCAAGGGAACCAATAGGACTCTCCTGAATTTCTTTGCTTATGTGCGGCGGAAGCAACGCGTGTGCCATCATAGCCACCAGAGTGGGACGAAGAAGCTTGCCGCTTGCCGCGAACATGTACTTACCGGCATGGTCCAAGACCTCATTGTTCTTATTGCTGACAAGCCCAGCAATGTGCTGCTGCATCGCCTTCACCTCACGTGCTACCATAGCGAATGGTCGCCCATTTTCTGTCAGCACCGTGCTAGGTGTTGCAGCTGTTTTCGCCGCACGACACACAGCGTTCCACCTCAGCATATCGTGCTTGCACGGGTGTACTCTGTTTCGTGGTCCCTATCTTCAGCCCTTTCTCCAGTAGCAAGGTTCAAAAAAAAATAAAAATAAAAAGGATTCAAGGAGATGATGTGGAGCGAAGAGGGAGAGAGAAATGACAAAACCGCGTTCGAAAAGAGACACAAAAACAACAAAAACAAAACACATTATCTACTAGTACCTTACGACCTCTGCCGCGTTGCAAAGAGAGGTAAAGAGAATTAGCAGGAGAAAACAAAGAGGGTCGAGACAGGAACAACAACAAAAAAAAAGACATTGTAGCCTGTCCCAATTCATACAGCTCCACTCTCCTTTAGAAGGGCCCTACCCTTCTTTCTGTACGTAATCTCAGTTGCAAGATGTGCGACATGTCCGTAATCCTCCACAGACAACCAGAAAACACACACAAACACAGGCACATACATTGCCATCACATCAGAGGCGACGCTTTTTCTTCATGAACTGGTCCATGCCCAAACCTCCATCATCGTCCTCGTCGCTTGAGTCGCCCTGCTCGTCAGCAAGCGAAATTCCATCCTTCGCCCCCTCGCGCTGCCCCTCCATCTTGGCCAACGCCTCCATCTCCCGACGGATGCCTTCGTTGCTGATGACGGCGGAACCGAACACACCCTTGCGGATGCCACCAGTGGGGTGTGTACCGTCCTCGGTGTCGTCGGCGTACAGCGAGGGTGGATGCTCGGCAGATGCCACGTCCTGCCGCATCCCCGAAGCTCCCGCCGTTGACGACGCCACTCCCTGTTGGCCACGGCGCGCGCTGTGATCGACACCACCACCACTACTACCGAGACCAGCAGCGGTGTCATCAACTGTCCTGAGGAGCTCTTCATCAGCCTCCAGCGCCTCTAGCGTCATCCCCAGACGGGCCGCAGCCCTCGCCAGACGGCGCTGTCGCACCTCCTGCTGCTTCTCCCGTTCCCGCAGTTCACGCTCAAGCCGAATGCGCTCCAGACGCTCATCCCGCGTCTCCTTTCTAGAGTGTGATGATGACTGCTGCATATCGGCAGCTGCCTTCTCGAGAAGTTCTCTGGCCCGTCGTGTCGCCTCTGCCTCCCTCTCCGCCTGGAGACGTTCCTCCTCGTCCTGCTGAGCCTTCTCGCGCGCCGCCTGCTCTGCCTCAACCTCCTTCCGCGCCTGCTGCATCGCAACAGCAAGTTGCATGACGTGATCACTTATTCCACAGGCACTACCTGCCGCGTGGGACTCGGCCTGCTGCTCCAGCCTCTGCTCGAGCGGGATGATCAGCTTACGTTTATTTTTCCAGTTGCCAATACTAAAGGGCACCGCCGTCGCACCAGAGGAAGACCCCACACCATCACCACCGCTGCCACACGCATCGCCTTCGTCCGTTCCCTTCTTCACGCGAGTCGGTGACCGGACAATGGGAGCGGGATCGAGCATTCCAGTTGCCCCTACGTCCCCTGGAAGAGCAATCTCCAGCATCTGCTTCTTCCGCGGGGCCCGTCGGATGGTTCTTCCGCTGAAGTCCTCCTCCTGTTCTTTACGGCCCTGCAACACTTGCTGCAACGCCTCCCTCGTTTTCTCCGTGGTTTGTGCAAGTTCCTCTGAGTTGCCACTGGTAGGGTCACGGTCCTCATGAGGCGACACGACAGCTACAACCCCGGCGGCCGCAGCAGGGGCAAAGGACAAGGGGCCCTTGCCAGACGTCACAGACTTTTCTCGCACCTCCGTAATCGCCGCTAAGACGCCAGGCGGCAGTGGCTTCTTTCCCATCCCAAGGGGGTACTGCGCGAAGAAGCACTCCGCAAAGGCACCACCGTCCTCGCTAGGACTCCACATGATGCTGACGAGGAACAACACACAATGCAAGCGGCACTTTCCCTACCAAATATACATACATAGAAAGAGAGAGGGAGAGACAGAGACAGAGAGCAAGTATAGTGCACACAAAAACATAGACGTACAGATGCAAACAGAGGCAACAGAACGATGTTAATGGGCTTGACCGCTTCAACAGCGACCACCCGTGTTGACGTTCGACCAGAAATAATAATAATAAAAACCCTTTTGACTGTTTAGTGCCATTTCTTTGCTGAATATCTCAGACTTTTTTTTTATGGAGTAAATACATGAAAATACGATCAAAAGAAAAAAAAAAAATCCATCCGCCACATATAATGTACATGGTTCATTTTCAGAAAAAGGTAATAAAATGATTTTCATAGTCAGCCCGTATTTTTCTTTTTCTGTTTAATTTGCTCCTCTTGGGTTACACTTATTTCGTCTAGGAAACACTGTTGAAGTACTCCTGTGACTTCACTGGATCTTCCTTCATCGTCTTGGAGCCAGGCTTCCAGTTGGCAGGGCACACCTCACCGTGCTCCTCCACAAACTGGAATGCCTTCACGAGGCGGAGGACTTCCTCAACGTTGCGGCCCACCGGAAGGTCGTTGATGGTGATCTGCCTCAGGTTCTGCTTCGGGTCAATGATGAACAAGCCGCGGTATGACACACCCTCATCCTCCTTCAGCACACCGTATGCCTTCATGATCGACTTGGTCTTGTCTGCGATGATGGGGATCTCCATCTTGCCAAGACCTCCCTTCTTGCGCTCAACATTTGTCCATGCCAGGTGCGAGAACTCGCTGTCCATGGAGCAGGCAATGACCTCACAGTTGATGCTTGTGAACTCCTTCACATGATCTGAGAACTGGCAGATCTCCGTGGGGCACACGAAGGTGAAGTCCAGGGGGTAGAAGAACAGCACCACCCACTTACCCTTGTAAGAGGCGAGGTCCACCTTCTTGAAGGTTCCGTTCGGCATCAGCGCCACCTCATTGAAGTGGGGAGCTGGGTGGTTGAGCTTGGCTTCACCGCAGGACATGAGTTTGGTAGAATTGGATGTTTGTGTGTTTACTTGATTGTGTTTTTTTTTGTTTTTTTGAGAGCGAGGTTTCTCTTGATTAGAAAGGGAAACTGAAAAATAAAAAAAGGTAATTTGTATATTGTTTAAAGAAATGTATGAAAGAAAAACAACAGAGTTTTTATTCTTTCTGAATAAATTTTTTTTCCATTTCATTGGATTAATGTGGCACTAGAAAGAGACTTACTCCAATATGAAATGTGCACACTCACATATACACACACACATACACGCACGCTTTTAAGACGAATAGTGGCACGTGAAAGTAACAAGAATGTTTGGAAAAACAGTCATTGTTTTTCTTAGTTATCCTTTATTTCTTTTTTATGCTTTAGTCGTTATACGAGGATAGGAAAAACGTCTGTTAAAACGCATTTTAAAACCTAATGAGGGATGAATAATAGTGACCATGATGAACGTTTGTAAAGACACAATGTGATACATTAATAATAATTAATATTATTCAAATTGTATCATTCTTTATAATGTTCATTTTCATTAATTTGGTATTAACAGTCTCTGATTTCCACCTTTTCATTTTGCTCTTTCCATGCGATGGTGTCCCTGCGTGCCATTTTTTTTTTTTTTTAATTGTGTGTGCTATTAGTTTGTTTTCTGACTTCTCTTTTAGATGTTGTTTTCCTTCTTTTTTCTTTTCCTTCTGCACTTATTTTTGTAGTGGGGAGTAATGATCATCTTTTTCTTTTTTTTTCTTTTTTTTTCTTTTTTTTTTCTATTTTACTGTTTTTTTTTTTTTCTTCTTCTTCTTTTCTTTTCCGTTAAGTCTCTGTTTCCTTCAACTTACTGCTGTTTGCATTCCTGTTGCTTGCCAGCACCCCGTGCAGCACCTGCGCCTCCGCGTGCTCTCTGACCACCGCGCTGTTGAATAAACCGTGCCCCGCCTGCTCCCGCCGCACCGTGATCATCCTCATCGTCCTCTTCATCCTCATCATCTTCCTCATCCTCATCCTCATCACCGCCAGCGAACATTTGGAAGTCGAATTGACTCTGTAACTGCCTTGCTGTCTGTTCAACAGACTTGCCGGTGTAGAAGAATGCCGCCTTGGGCACGAGTTCCTCCATTAAAAGTTGTCCCGCCTCAATCTGGAGTTCAGCCTTTTCGTCATCCTCCTCATCGTCATCGTCGTCGTCATCAGCGTTCTCATCCTCCTCGTCTTCGTCGTCGCCGAAGGGATTAGTGAAGAAGTCAAAGAATGATGGACACTTCTCTTCACGTTTCACCACACGGATGCTTTTGCTGCTCTTATGGCGTTGTTTCTTAGACTTAATCACGATTGTAAGGTTTTTCTCTGGTGATGTCCACTCAATAGGGGTGGACTTGAGGGTATCAATCTCAACCTCACCAGTATCCTCGTTAAACGACATGTGGAACGTCTTACTGAGTACCGTATTTGTGAAATATTCATTTGGTGCAAAAACAAAATTTAACTGCACACCCTTCTGTGGATCACCTTCCACATACTCCAAAGTAATATCCTGCAGAAAAGTTAAGGCATGACGATCACGCTCAGTAATCATGGAATCAAATACTTCTGTATTGCACATAGCCGTCAACCAGAAGTCTGGAATACCGCCATTGGGATTGGCAGCAGCTGTCTCGAGACGGCCGGCTTCCTGCGGTGCCACCACACGCACAGACTTTGTAGCCTTCGCTTCTTCCCCTTGTTCCGTTGTTTCTCCTGCTGCTGCTGCTGCTGCGTTTGCAGTCTTGTCTTCTTCGTTGTTTTCATCGTCACTTATCTCGCGAATGCCGGATGTCGTTGCGGTGGCTGCCTTCACTTTCGCGAGTTCATCCTCAGTGATATCACGCACACCCCGCACAATCTCAGAGCGCACATCACGCAGGCCTTGAGCAGATTGCATGAATTGAATCTGAAGAAGTGCGAGTTCCTCACGGAATTTAGCTCGCACACTCTTGTAATCATTCAGCAGTCCCTTAAGCGCATACACCTTACGGCGCTCGTGCACTGTCATCTCATTCATGGCTTCAATGAGGTCAAATTCTTCTTCTTCATCTTCCTCTTCTTCTTCCTCTACGTGGTAGTTAACGGGATCGACATGCTTCGGCGGAAAGTTCCTGCGTTGCATTGTAGATTACCTTTCTTTTTTTT